TATATAATATTATCAAGCATAAATAAAAAACAACCAGACATATTCTGCAAGTTAATATCTATAAAAAAAAGCAACACACACAATCAAACAAACACACACACAAGCAAATAAAAATATCACATAAATTTACAATCAAATACACACACACACATAAACACACTAAGCAGGTAACCAGTCGGACGTCAATCAAGTTAGGAAGTTATTCCTGCAGACATAAATTAACAAAACGCACATATCTAGCACGCACATAAACAACACGCACATAAACAAAACACATAATAATCAACACACGCAAATAAGTGATGATGACGACGATGGTGATAATAAATAAGAGTGCTGGAAATGACCGTGAGGAAAATAATGACGTTAATAACAATAATAATAATAACAAAAATAATAATAATAATGCCAACAATGACGATTAGGATGATTGAATGATGAGTGCTTCACGAAGAAGCGAGCTGCAGAGAAACATGAAGACAGACAACAAAACACCAACCAGCACAATACTCCATGCTGCTATAAATACACTAATTATTGTCCTTGCTCTCTCTGGCTAAATATAGTTTCTACCACTTGGTTTGGTTTCATGTGCCTCTACTAATCAATGTCTATATTTTTTGTTTATTATTCATTCTTGCTTATTTACAGATTATCCAATATCATTGTTTTAAAAAGCAGCATGTTTCTCATATCAATACAATCAACGCTAAACTATTGACGATGCTGATGTTATCTAATAAAGGCTAAAGGGAGTGTAGCGAATCATTTTCTAAAAAATGCTATCAGTGCAGTTGGGTTGGTTGTCCAGTTCTTCAAGTTCTCCCTTATTTTCCCATGCAGAATGACAAGTTCACTCGCTGTGTAACTTGATATTTTCATTAAAACATTCAATGCAAGAAAAACTGCATATGCTCACAGAACAGACCGCATCAGGCATACAGAGAGAGACAGATAGACAGACAGACAGACAGACAGGCAGACAGACAGACAGAGTACATGAAGTCAATGTTTGAGATGTGTGGGGATAGAGTTGCAGCTTGTAATCGAGCAGCCGGTTGAACAACTGCACATGATACATTAGTGTGAATGCAAAAACTTACAATCAGATGACTTTTTAATTTTTTTTATTTGCAAATTGATCAGTGGTAGCGGCGTTTAGCCAATTAATTTGATGTGCACAACAATTAAGTTGATACGCACTGCAGAGGCAAGCATTCACACTATTCATGTTCATTCATTGATAGGCAGTTTATGAAACAAATCACAATGTACAAATCACAAGGTATTTATATTTCTTGTAAGAAATTAGATAGATACTGTATATCTATTTGTGTATTCATTCAATAAATGATGTTTTTTTCGTTTAGGAAAAATTTGTATATCGATTTTGGATATCTCTTTCACAATGATATAATGGTCACGATCAACAAATACACATCCTCAAATTTTAAAAATATACAAAACGACAACTAGTGCGTGTGCGTGTGTGTGTGTGTGTGGTGTATGTAATTGTTTATCTTATATTATATACTTGTTTATACACACATAGCAAGTATTTATGTATGCCTGTTATTAAATTTACGTTGAATACCTACAGATAAGTTAGCCTTCTACGGGTTGCAGATAAATATGTTCAAGAATGCACGCATTCATGTAACATATTTATTGTCGTGTGTGAGTATATATAATGTATGCATATGTATGTTTGTTTGTGTGTGTATGTATGTGTGTATTTATGTGTGTATATATGTGCATGTATGTGTGTGTGGGTATGTATATAATGAACATATGCGTGTTTGTTTGTATGTATGTGTATTTAGGTGCGTGTATGTATGAGCAGTGAGCACGTGTAATATACTTCTTTCCTGTTTCGGGCATGAAGGCTTATTATCATCACTGTCGTTGTTCTTAGTTGCAGGGATTGTTTTGTGTTGCTAATTTTGTTGCCGCTGTAGTCTGTGATTGTATACTGTTTGTTGATGTGTGTGTGTATGTGTGTGTGCGCGTGTATGTGTGTGTGTGTGCGCGTGTATGTGTGTGTGCGTGGTGAGGACAGGTTGTTATGTGTTGTGAAACTCTATGATGCACCAATAGGTAAGTTTCTATTACAAGTTTTAAATATATTTTTTTAGTTCTGATGTTTTTAATATCAGCTAAACTTTTTGTTATTTTTAGTTGGTGATGTTGGAATGATTGTTTTACATTTGTCAGTATTGATCGTTGCTGATGTGTTATTATCGAAGTGCATGCATACACTCGGCGTCATACTAAGCACGTACAAGTCCGTAAATAAATTAGACGACTCCCATTGCAGTAACCGCTGTATGGCTCAATTCGTGTTTTCCGTTATAATGTTTTTCATAACGTGGTTGGTGTACATTGTCATATCTTGGTAACTTCATTCGTCGTTGCGTATTTCTGTGAGATTTTTTCAAATAATTACTTGATGGCTAATAAATTAATTAGCAATGATAACGGAAGAAATAATTCATTATGTTGTAGGCAGGCGTGTGTGGCGAACGTTCGATTGTGTGGTGGTTGTTCGAAATGAATGATTTCAGCTGCACGGTGCTCATTTATATGCAGTTTGTTGAAGTGTAAATGCTCCGATAGCAATATAAATTGGGTGAATCCTACCTTTCTACCGCTGGTCGCCGTTGCATTCGTCTCACGATGAATGTTTTTTTCTCTGATAACTTCTGTTAACAAAGTTTTCTGAGTTTCTCGAGGTGATAGAAAAACATCTCATTGTTAATAACAATGTAACAACTTTACACCAACTTTAAATCTGCCTGCCCCCTCCACCTTCACCAACGACTTAATGTTACCTTTGTTTATAACTTTCAAGTAGAAAAACACTCAACAGTTAGCAACTTCTTGCTCCGCACGTGAAGTCGCATTTTAACCCGCTTGAAAATTATGAAAGGAGTGTTTGAGATTTTGAGCCACTGTGAATGGTTGAGGTAAGAATAAATATTTAAATAAAATGTGTCTCGCTCTCTCTCCCTCTTTCTCTCTCTCTTTCTCTCCCCCTCTCTCTGTGTGTTTGTGTGCATCATCTCTTTGGTGTTGTGCTGTTTGATAGGTGTCTATACGCAGACCTGGTATGATTTAAAGATCAAAAATAAAACAAAAGCGATATGCAAAAATTTAATGTTTAATTTTTTAGGAAAATGTTGATGAAATTAAATTTTATTTATTTTTGGGAACTGAACACAAATTTACCAAATTATTTGAAATAACTGGAAAAACCTAATGATTACAAGTACGAAGGTAAATGTTTTGAAAGTAATTAAAACATGAAGTGATTCAATTTGCTTGTATGTGTGTGGGAGTGATGAGTGCGGTAGTGGTCACCTGCCGACAGATGGGTGGATTCAATTGGTTTGCCACTTGACACTGCATGTAGCTGTGTGCTAATGCATGTTTCAAATTTTTATGCTTTGCTGGTGCTAGCTTTGCAAAATCAAATTGCTCAGTTTTAAAAGAAGTTCACTACATAAACACACCCACATACGCATAAACAAACTCTCGCACATAATCAAACACACCCACAAGCGAATACACACTCACAAACACACAGTCCGGACTGTGCAAGAATGAATTTTAGTAAAATTCTAAAGTGCATGTTTGCTTAAATGTTTCATTGTAATTGTTATATTAATACATTAAACTGTGAAGCATGAACTGAACAGAGCATTTCAATCATTTGAACATCCAATGCCTCCCAATGAAATGATCATAGGTGAGCTTTTGCCACTGAATGTATGTGTATGTGTATAAGTTTTGTATATATATATATATACAATTATGCTGGTAAAAGACCACAATTAATGCAGTAAATTACAGATTTTCTAGCGTTGGATAGTTTTTTATTACATTTTTCAATATTTCTAACCAAATTCTTTATTTTACCTTTAATATATCACATTATTTATTTCTTTATTTTTTTTAAAATAAATAATGACGACAAGAATTTGGTTAGAAATATTGAGAAATGAAATAAAAAACTATCCAACGCTAGAAATTCTGCAGACTTCATAAATTACTGCATATATACAATTGTATATGTATACAATTGTATATGTATACAAAAGTATACATCGCCCGTCCTGTCCTGTCTGATGCTAAACTTGAGAAGCACCGATGCATTGATGCATACCTAATGGGAGGTGGGTGGGTGGTGATCGACTTGTTTTGCAAGTTTCATACAATATTGGTAAGTCTGTTTATGTGTGTGTGTGCGTGTGTGTGTGTGCGTGTGTGTATGTGCGCGCGTGTGTGTAAAGTTGACGTTGTGTGTTTGTATGTGCTAAACAACGAGCGTCTACATGAAGTGTTCAGTTGACAAAAAGTTTCAACCCAGCGTTTCCGTCATCAACGTGTCCTTATCATCATCATTGTCATCATCTTCATTATTTTCATCGTCATTATCATCATCTTCATCATTTTCATAGTCGTCATCATCTTTATCATTATCATCGTCATCAGCATCACTACAAGTAGCAGTAGCACTATTGTTGTTTATGATGATGGATGATGTTGTTGTTGTTACTAAATAAGATTGATGATGATGATGATGATGATGATGATGATGATGATGATGATGATGATGATGATGATGATGATGATGATGATGATGAAAATGATGATGATGATGACAGCGGTTTTATTTATGACAACAAGATTAACTTAATAATAATAAAATTTGCAACATTTAAATAGTAATAATATTCGCAAAATTAATTTATTAATTTTTTCATTGAACTTTGTTCATGAATTTAAATATGCTTATCCTTAACTTTTCAAATTATTCTATCAATCAATCAACCAACCATTCAACCTACCAACCAACCAACCTAACAACCAATTGATCCTCAATCAACCAACCAACTGACTCTCAACCAACCAATCAACAAACCAACCAATCCAATCAACCAACCAACTAACTGATCCTCAACAAACCAACCAACTCTTCAACCAATCATTCGATTACGTGGTTTGAGACGATAAGCATGCTGGTCATCCTGCTGAACTGCCTGACGCTGGGCCTCTACAAGCCGTGCATCGATGAGAACTGCCTGGATGATTTGAGGTTAGTGGTGACGGGATGGCGATGTTGTTGTTTGGTGAAGATGAAGGGGAATGATAAATTCAATCAAATTATTTTCAATCAATCAATCAAATTTATATAGCCCATTTTCTAGAAATTCAAATTTCATTTCCTCTAACGATTTCAATTTTTTCCTATTTATCCTGCTGCTCAGTAGCTAATTCCCTCCCCATTCCCTTTTCATTTCACTTCCTTCCCATTTCCTTCCCACTCCCAAGAAGGTGTCCCCCTTAATTCCTTTCTTCATTCGGTTTCTTAAAATTAATAACCATTTATTTAAGAGCTTCTCTCATAATATAAAAGCTAAAACAAATCAGGACCACAAAAATCAGTTGCAATGAATTATTCTACAAATTCAAATATATTGAAATAGTAAATTTCTAACAATGAGAACTGACAGAGCAAAATTACACTTAAAATGTTAACTCTTTTTTTGCAAACGACCTAGGTTGCTTCTGCATGAACTTTTGCATTTGACGTTTTGCCATTTTCCACAAAGTGCTAAATATTATTATTACAAGCTGAAGTGCAGAAGATTCTTGTATAAATGTAGAGAAATCCTTAATGTCAATACCAAATTGTTGGCATTAATCAATTTGAAGTTTGTTTTTTAAATTTTTCTTACTAGAATTTTTTGGAAATTGTTAAATTTATTGAAAATAGAATTATCCAAGTTCATGATGAAAAAATTAATAAACCTGTTGTTATCCAAATTCATCATGCAGATAGGCCTTATTTTGATTTTTCACAAATCATCTTCGGTGCCGGTTTGGTTTATATAGTTTCTTTAAACAAAGAAAAGTTATTAGTTGGTGTCGTATTCTTTATTTTTGTTGTTGTCATTCCTTTGTTCTTCATTGTTATTGAAGTTAGTATTAAGGCGTCGAGTTGGCAATGATGTTATCATTCTGTTGGATGTTTATTTGGGGTTTATTGATAAATATTAGGACAGCTTCCGCAATTTTTAGATGTATTGTGTTGGTGTTTTGATAAATTATTTAGTGTTGTTGTTAAGAATTTGGCGGATAATTGGAGTTGCATGTGTTGATTGCAAGTGAGACTTGATGACCCCTCTTTCTGTATGCATTGTGAGATGTCTTGATAGTGCAATTATTGTATTCGATGAATACAATATTGTATTGGTTGTAACACCAACACACGAATTAAGTTAACAGTTTATAAGTTAATATTTAATTTTATATATAAAATTCTTCCTGACTGTTTTTTAAAAGTTCCCCTCGTATGCCTTTGAAATTACTATGATGATGATGGTGTTTTTAAATTTTGTAGTCAACCATCCATGGAAGATTTATTTATGAGCTTGTTGGGCATATGTGCTGTACTGGTTAAATAAATTGCGTTGTCATTGTTGTTATTATCACTTTTAATATTTTTATTATCGGATCGGAAAATCTCAAAATCACACATTGTGATTTGAAACCGAAACCCCTAACAACCGATATTGAAAAGATTTACAGTCAAAATAAATAACATATCATCTGTATCATCTGGAAAACTTACCTTGCACTGGACACATGCTGTGTGTGTGTGTGTGTGTGTGTGTGTGTGTGTGTGTGTGTGTGTGTGTGTGTGTGCGTATGAGAAAATTGTTTCAAGGGACGGAGAAATCCACTAAATTATATTTTGTACTGCCACGTTCGTGGGAAAGAAATGAAATGGATGAAGTTTGATGAAAGGACTGCAATGTGGATGATCGGAGGGCTCCCCATCCGATCCTCAATCAGTTATTTTCTTCAATACGTGCGTCGTTTACCTGAAAGATACATAGAGATTAAAATATTCATTAGGTCCTGCTAGTTGTACGCATTTTATATTCACTGTTATAGCTATAAAGTTTGTTTTGTACTTTATTATTCACTGCAGATTTATATTTTATTCTCATCTAACTTTGTAACGTTGTGCTGAAAAACATTTATCGTAGGAAGCTTCATTAATAGTTGTCCCTTCCACCAAAAAAATAGCACACACCTTTGAACATTTCCACGTTGCTTATTAAGTAAAAATTTTGAAATCCGACATTGCCAACATGGTGGCTAGCAGGACTGAAGTGAAGGCAAAACAATTCGCCAACTTACATTTTTGGGAAGCTGATTCGATTCAGGAATAAAAAACAAGTCTGAAAAACTGAAAGATTGTTAATGGTTACAGCTATTATTAAGTTCATTTCATTCAAAGATGAAAAAAATATTTTTAATACTTATCTTAAATGAACTTTGCTGAGTTACAGAGATATTTAGTTCATAAAAGTACATTTAAAAGAATAATAAAATAATTTTCTGATAAAAGTTAGAATAAATTGTTCCCTGTGAAAGCTTTAAATAACATTGCTCATGTTTTTAAATGTTTAAAAAATTATGATCGGTTAATGAAACCAGGTGCTCAATCAGGTAAAAATAAATCAAGTGGGTTTCCATTGTATTGACAAATTAAAAATTGGTGAAAAAAGTGGTGGAAGAACTGGAGAGAAAGTAGAGAGTTGAGCGGCCGCTTGGTTGAATGAAGGCGTCTCAAGTTTAACCATGGAAGGAAATTAAAATTTCACTGACGCACCAACCACGCACGCGAACGAACAAAATATTAAACAGACACGCACCTAATATCAAAACAACGTTTAACGCAGCAAAAATAAACAGCCACAACAACGAAACCACTTCAAGTTTCAGTTACCTTTAATGAAAATTTTTACTAAATTTTAAATAGCCTCTTTGGTACATAAAAAATCACGTACACATACATGTACATGCACGCACACGCACACATATACACACATACATACACATGTACATGCACATATACTGTATACACACATCAGTGCTTGCCTGAGGTGCATTAGACTGTGTTTTTTCTAAAGACATTTTTATTAATACATATCAATTCTCTTTAAAACCTTCTTCGAGCAATTTATTTCAAGATCAAAATTTACTTCTGATTTAAGATGTTTTTTATTAATGTTTGTACTTCACATCAATTCAGATTTAATTTAAAATCCTCAGTGGGAAGTACCTTCAATTATCAATTATATCATCTTATCAGTTATATATTATATCACCGTATCAATTATACATCAGATGATGATCAGCAACCAACATCGGAGATTTCAACAAAAACTTTCCAAACATTTAGATGACATTGTTAGATTTGATCTGCAGGTCTAACTTTTAAAAAACAATTTCAATAATTCTGTTAAACAAGCAAACAAATGATCGTAAGGGGTGAATGAAATTTAAAATTTTTATAAAACATTTGAGGAGGCAACAGATGCAACAAAATACGAGCCACTTCCATCTTCATACGCAACTAAAATGAAAATCATAATAGGAATGAGAAGCTCTCACAAAGAAAAGACATGCAGAGGGGTATCCCATTGAGTTGCCAGCAACCATTCAAAAAGAAAGAGTTTCTTTTCAATATTGCACCGATCAACAAATGGTATATTTAGTTGAAATTTCAATGGACAACGTAATTAACCAATTGACTATACACCGATTAAGAACTTTAAAATGAAAAACACTCAACGATCAACAAAAAGGCGCGCGAAAAGTTGAAATAATTGAAAATATTAAAAAATAAAAATAAAGAAAAAAACAAAGTAATAAATAACAAACTGCGATAACAGAACCACTACGATATTTGCATTTCTGTGGCGCTTAACTTTCGAAATATTTGAGATAAGTTATTTGAAGCGGCAACAAGATGAATGATCCACGTACATGTATGTAAACTAACAAACAATGCACGAACCAAACTCAGAAACATGCCGTTGAACACGCAGTATTGTATTATTACAGCATCATTCAACATTGCAATGATATGTTCTGTGTGTGTGTGTGTGCGTGTGTGTGTGTGTGTGGTTTGTTTGTGTGTGCGTGCGTGCGTGTCTGTGTGTGTGTGTGTGTGTGTGTGTGTGTGTGTGTGTGTGTGTGTGTGTGTGTGTGTGTGTGTGTGTGTGTGTGTGTGTGCAAACTTCATGCTGTACTCTTGCATAGCCGGATATCCTTACTTTTCATATTTCATATTCAAATTTTTACATTTAATAAAATATTCATACTCTTCATTTAGATGATGAGGATGACAATTAGAGAAAAGAGAGGGACAATCTGTTTACCTAATCCATATTTAGTCCTAGTACCCACGCCTTTTGTGTCCTTCCACTGCGTCTGCTCCATGCGTCTTCAGTGCCTTATTTGATTACACTGCGAAGATTTCACGTTCAATTTGTTGTTATTGTTTATTGTTGTTGCTGCTGTTGTTGTTGTTGCTGCTGTTGTTGTTGCTGTTGTTGTTGTTGTTGTTGCTGTTGTTGTTGCTGCTGTTGTTGTTGCTGTTGTTATTGTTGCTGTTGTTGTTGCTGTTGTTGTTGCTGCTGTTGTTGCTGTTGTTGTTTTTGTTGTTGCTGCTGTTGTTGTTGTTGTTCTTTTGGAATTGTTTTTATAATTAATAATTTTTCTGTCTTCCTTGTTATATTATCTTTCCTAATGCATTTAATATTTATCGTTATTACTGATTAATATTTTTATTAGTGGCGAATTAGTTGTTGTTGCTTAAATTGTTGGTGCTAATATTGTTTTGTTGGCGTTTTTGTTTTTATTTGTATGGTTCAAAAAGTTGTTGTTGATGAGATGTTCTTTTATGTTGGTAGTGAAAATAATACAATTAATTTATCAAAAAGTGTGCATATATGACTAACAACATCCAGGCACAAATCTGCATGCATATTGTTGAAATACCTGCAAATTTTCAACCTTAATTATGCCAACATAATTATAAAATGATACTAGTAACAGCAATGACTAATTAAATATGACCATCTGCCTTTTCAATTGAAGCCTTCCTACAAATGTTTGCTAGCTGCAAACATCTGCTATCCAGTGGATACTTTCCACTAATTCACTTTTGTACCTATATCCATTCAACTACAAGACTAAGCTGACCACCTATCCAATCATTCACCAACCCATTCACATAACAAGCCACCTATTTATCCATCCCCTAAACCCATCCACCTATTCATCTACCAATCCATCCACCTAACAATCCATCCATCCATCCATCCATCCACCATTCATCCACCAATCCATCCACCTAACAATCCATCCATCCATCCACCAACCCATCCATCAACATACATCAATCCTCGATCTTCAATTTGAAGTCTGCTCCGGGCAATGAACATTTTTTAGATTCTGGCTGGATTCCATAAGAAATAAGGAAATAAATTGACATTGAACATAAGCAGGAATATATTGTTCAGAAATTCAAGTACTTCCAGATAAGTGTTTCATGCTTCGAAACAAATACGTTACAATCGTTTTTTTTTGTTATTCATTCAAATTTTTGTTGGATTATAATTAGTTTAAATTGATCGATTAAATAGAATAAAACCGTCATGCACAATTCGTGGCAGCACACATTAAAGTTTGAAGAACGTATGCTATAACGTAACAGCATCGTATGCAACGATGAGTTGTGATGAATCGAATGATTTGGCGGTTTTATTTCACAGTTCACTAAGATTTTATAACAACATACGCAATGTGTCTCGAGTCGATGACAGGGGCGGCATACTGACTTCTTAGTTTGAGCCCATTATAAGCTGCTATTATTATTATTATTATTATTATTATTATTAGTATTATTATTATTATTATTATTAATTCAACCAGAACCATCGTAATGAATCTTACAGAAAGTAGGCATGTATGAACGTTCGCACATACAACACACACACCAATCAAACATAAAAACACTCAAAACATCTGCACGGCAAATATACACACACAAACCCACACATGCAGACCAAATATACAAACACACACATACACGCACACACGCAAGCACACAAACCCACAAAGAAGCAAGCAGGGTAGCACGTTGAGATTAGCTCATTGAAAACTGACTGAAGACTTAATGCTGTGGTCGTTGGCGGACAGTTGAGTGGCTCGCAGTTGCAAACGCGTTGGTGGCTGCTACATGCGATGTGTGCACGCTGTCTCAGGAGACGCCTCAAAAGCGCTTGACTCTCATTTCAAGAGAAAATAAACAAGATGGAAATTAATGCGCATTGCATATTCATATTTGAATGTCACAACATTTAAACGTTGATGGTATTCTAACTTAGCTGGAAGATGATGATTTTGCACCACTTGGGTTGAGTGTTGGTGCAAGATAGGTAGGTAGGTGGGTAGGAAGAAAGTAGGTAGGTGGGTAGGAAGAAAGAAGGTGGGTGGGTAGGTAGGTGAGTAAATGGATGGATAGTTTTATTATTTATCATCATTTTCGTCTAACATTTACTAACAGTTTGCTTTTTTCAGCTTAGGAGGAGCGTGTAATTACATGCCGTTATGATTGCATTTGCATCTTCTTTCAGACAAACGTAGAATTGTATGGATTGTTGATGATTGTTTGCGGGAATTTCAAATCAAAATAATTTTACTCGTGTTTGTTTGTTTGTTCGTTTCGATGCGTTATAACTCGAGCGAAACTTTTCTTATAATTTCATTTTGCTTTCTAGTCGTTTGTCATTTTGTCAATAAATCATCTTCATTACAATAGTTTTTTGTGATCTATTTCTCTACATTATTAACCTACCTACCTACCTACCTAACTACCTACCTACCTACCTACCTACCTACTTACCTACCTACCTACCTACTTACCTACCTACCTACCTACCTACCTACCTACCTACCTACCTACCTACCTACCTACCTACCTACCTACCTACCTACCTACCTACCTACCTACCTACCTACCTACCTACCTACCTACCTACCTACCTACCTACCTACCTACCTACCTACCTATCTACCAACCTACCCACCTACCTACCTACCTACCTACCTACCAACCTACCTACCTACCTACCTACCTACAACCAACAATAGTTCTGACTATCGCTATACCAATAATAATCAACATAGTTATTAATGTCTCAATTAATATTTCAATCAATTTTTTAATTAATATTTTAATTATAATCTTAATAATAAAAACAATTCATAATTGGTTTGGATTTTTCGACGAAAAACTTTTCAATCATAACTCAATCTTCCATCAATATTAATTCGAAACTGCGGTTGAAAAATAATTAAAAAAATGTACAAAATTGAGAACGAGAAATCTAAATGATAATAATAACAATAATAATAACAACAATAAAGATGGCAGTGTGAAAATGGAATGAACCATTATTCTCTGACAAGTTAAGCTTCATTCCTTCTTCCTTCTTTTTGTTACTTTCACTCATTCCTCAATTTTCCACCTATCACATTCAAATGTTTAGGCGAACATGCGTGCAGTGTGCAACTTTGTTCAGTTCCTCTCAATCAGTTGGCAGACACAAAAAATTAGGCAATAAAACTGAATACATTTTTCGTTTGGTTGATTGTCCGTCCACTCTAAAAGCACATTTTGACGGCATTTATTTATCGTAAATATTTTTAAAGTTTAACTTGAAAAATGAATATTTTTATTGCGGGGTGTAAAAGAAGATGTGTGTGTGTGCATGTGCGTGCGTGTGCGTGTGTGTGTGTATTTGTGTGTGTTTGTGTGTACACAAGTATGCACGTTATTTCGATGAATGTTGTTTGGAAGGTAGGGAAGATTTATTCATCGTGTAAATAGCAATGGATGTTCTGCTTGGAAACTTTCGCTCAAATTATTATTCGTTTTTTTTTGTTTGTTTCATTGTTTGTTCATTTGTTTGTTCGTATGTTTCTTTTGGTATTTATTTGTTTTTCAAAACTTTTTTTGTCTGCAAAAACATTTTTCATTTTGAATTATATAATAAGCGCAAAACTTGTTTCCTGATAGTTCGTTTTTTGCAGTGTAGCTGAACTTTTGCCAATTGATTCGATGTACCTTGCACTAATCTTAAGTTGAGATATTTAACAAGAACTGACAATAGCTGAACCAACTGCTGCCAAGTGCAACTACAACAATTAACGACACCACATCATTCTTACACTGCTGGTTTCATTTACGAAAGTGTAAAACAAAACAGAATGTTGAAATCTTTTTCGCCTTTATCATTTTGAATGAATGTTTCACACGATTTTTGAATCAATCGCAATTACTTTTTTTAACAATTCAGGATTTTTTCTCTTCAACCACCACCACCACCACAACCACCACCACTACCACCACTACCACACAACCTCAACACGCTGAACCAGTTGTTCTTAGCAGATTTGAAACTATCCTCTCTCTCATACTTACGTAATCGTTCAGTGCAGTTGCTTATTTTATAGACGGCAATAATAATAAAGCAGGCAGAATAGGAACTCAGATTTGAAAGGCTTCAATGAAGATTTATTTCTTCATTTTCGTTTTCAGAGACGACAAAATATTTTTACATTTTTTCATTGCATGAATTAATTTTAGCGAACATCGGATGCTGAATGAAATGAAATTATGACGATGATGATCGAGTCGTAAAAGTGAATATTTTCCATAACGTTTTTCATATGGGGCAGCGTGATGGTCTAATGGTTAAGGTCGCCTGGTGCTGTTTCGCAGTAACCGGGTTCGAATGTGACAAAAAGATCCCCGCATGTTTCGTGTGTGATGAGTCGTTTAGCAAGTATTCATTTACGATGATTGTGCGCTCTGTTAAATCCTCTAAGCTTTGGAAGAGTGAAGTTGACCTTTTTAACCTTTTTTTTATATGTAATTAATCTTAACGTTTGGCACAATTTTACATATTGGTCACAATCTGCATTAAACACACACAAACACAGATGAGTGTGTGAGTTTATAATAAAAGAGGTTCTAGCAGAGGTGCTGTAAATATATTATAACTGATATTTATTTCATTATTCTTAATTTTTTAATTTATTAAAATGATAATAATTCTTGTTGGTAGAGTATGATCAAAATGCCTTTTCAAACAACAGAGCTCCATGAAATTTTTTCCTAAAAATGAAAATTTTCAAAATCAAATTTTCATCCAAAATAATAACAGCAAGACGAACCATAACGATAAATATAGCATTACAAGGGAATAACCATCAAAATAAAATTTAATTCGTCACCAGATGTCGCATTTTGAAGTACTCTGACCACCTGATATTTGCCTTCTTCGCTTCGGAGATGATGATCAAGTTGATGGCCATGGGATTCATTGGCAGGCTGGCCTACCTCGCTGAAACATGGAACAGGCTTGATATGTTCATCGTTGTTGCAGGGTTGGTTGATTGGTTGGCTGGCTGGTTGGCTGGTTGGTTGGTTGGCTGGCAGGTTGGTTGGTTGGTTGGTTGGCTGGTTGGTTGGATGGTTGGTTGGTTGGTTGGTTGCTTGGTTGGTTGGTTGGCTGGTTGGTTGGTTGGCTGTTTGGTTGATTGGTTGGTTAGGGTTCGTTACAAAGTGATAAGACATATCAGTAATATTTTCAATGTGTTTTGAAAGAAAATTCAACATTCTATTAACATTTGATATTTTTACAAAAAAATTTCAATGCGATATTACAAGTTGATGGAAATAGATTTTGTTGAAATGAATGTTGCTGTAAGTAGTCAATAATTTATCTGCAAATTCAAGTCTCTTCCTAATTTAACCATTTATATAATATATATAATCCATGAAAATCATTATTATATCCATCAATTTAACCAGGAAAAGTTTGTTGTTACGCTTCTTAGCAACTTTCAACAGATTCTGTTTTCTTGTCGGCTAATGTTGTCGTTTCTTCTTTGTCAGTTTTAAGCATCTTGAATTCCTGAAAATTACTTTCAATACTTATATTATTAGTTTATTGTAGCATATAAGGTTAGCTGCCAAAACAAGAAAATGTTGCTTATACATTCAAAGGAACTAGTTTGATAACATTATGTTTCACGTATGTTTAGTACGTACATACATGTGTTTATGTTATGGAAGAAGGTAGTCAAACGTACAGAGTCCCCTGGAAAAATGGTCTCGCAAAATTAAACCCAACAAACATGCAACCATGCATGCAACAAATGTAACAAAACACCAGCAACACAAATGTATGCGACCACGCAACATGCGACCATGCAACATGCAACCATACAACATGCAACCATGCAACATGCAACTATGCAACATGCAACCATGCAACATGCAACCATGCAACATGCAACTATGCAACATGCAACCATGCAACATGCAACTATACAGAGCTATCGAGTACGCGGTGGACACGCAGAACTTGAACCTCTCCGCCATCAGAACCATCAGAGTCCTCAGACCACTCAGAGCTATCAACAGAGTTCCAAGTTCGGTTTATTTTGCTTTCAACTCTTTTTGTAATTTTTGTAATTTTTTCATTTGGAAACATTGTCACTAAATTGCTTTTTATATCTGAAAGTTATTGATTCAAATGAAGCATCAATCCCATTATTTGAATTATTTCATCCATTCATCTACCAGTTCATCTACTAAATTCGTCCACTCACAAAACTCTAAAACTTTCAAGAAATTTAACAATTATTGGCTAACCACCAACAGAACGTCTCAACACCCTGAGAATTAAATTTATATTCACTTTCGCGTCCATTCACTTGCTTCGTTCTTCCACGTAGCGCGGGAATGTTGCGAATCAGATGGGCAGGGTCATTTAGTTAGGCGAAGTTTGCAAGTAGTCCGTGCTGTTTGACTGAACGACTTATGTAACAGATAGAAATGCTCTCAAATGTTGCAATGTTGGAAAAATTTGATAGAGCTTTCATTTGAAAATATTAGAATACAATTAATTCAGTGATAAACTGTTATTATAACTAAGTGGAAGATGTGTCAATATTACGACGGAGCGAACTTGCAACATGGCCTTAATAAATCCCAACACGCATCACATTTATTTTATCGCTTCAACACTTATTCTTCATCTAATAACATCACACACAAAGTATTCAGACAATTTTTTCAAATTTTTGTATTAAACCACAAATAGTTCCGAATTTTTTAATTATTTTCCTCCTCTTTTATTAAAAAATTAAGAAAAACTAAATAATGAATTATTCCGCTACTTGTTTGGTATGTACATAAACTTTCATATTTATTTAAGCATAAATTATTGAAAATGTAGTAAAAATTGGAAGACGAGTTGAATTTTTTATCAACGGATGAGCTGAGCAGGCGTCTGAAGGAAGGAATGATGTTTGCACTCGCGCCGATAATTCAAAAAAAATTTTATCTAATTTAAATTTTTTTCTTCTTCTGCTGGTGTGTAAAACGTTCAGCAAACAATCAAACAAGTGGAGAAGTGCCAAAAATTGAAAATAAAATAATGCAAACTAGACACACGGAATATTGAATAGATAAGCGGCAAATAAATAACACGAATAAATAAGTAACATGAATATAGCCAAACTCATGCAACAAACATTGGAAACACTGAACGTGAACATTGAAAACGAAAACATGAACTTGAACGAAGTTCGTTGAGGAAAGTTCCTGCCCACCATGTCGCTCGCTAATCTCCTAATGAAAATTCAAGCACGAGACTCCGGGCCTCCCTGCCATCTCCACTCCATCAATTCTTCAACGTTACGCAATTCAAATTATGCTATGCAAATAATTGCAACTATATACTCACGCACAAACATGTGTGTTTGTGTGTGTGTATGTGTGGTGTATATGTGTGTGTGTGTGTGTGTATGTGTGTGTGTGTGTGTGTGTGTGTGTGTGGTGTGGTATGTGTGTGTGTGTGTGTGGTGTGTGTGTGTGTGTGTGTGTGTGTGTGTGTGTGTGTGTGTGTGTGTGTGTGTGTGTGTGTGTGTGTGTGTGTGTGTGTGTGGTGTGTATTCCACTCTATAACCACCAATGATGCAATTTGTTGTTTAAAAAAATTTAACGTACATAAAGAAACTTGCACGCACTACATTACGTTCGCCGATAACAAATTTCTTGCATACAGATATCAATCATAATCCTAATAAGGTAGATTTCTAGGTATGTACGTGTGAATGTGTGTGCCATGTGTGAGTGTTTGTTTGTTTGTGTGTGAGTGTGTGTGTGGTGTTTGTGTGTGTGTGTGTGTTTAGGCTTATTAAGTATCAAAAACAAGTTTTATGTTTGTATGTAGAAGTATGCACACAGGCCTGGGTGGGGCGGCATTTTCTGTAAAAAAATAATTAATTTTCAATGATTTTTAGTATTGTAAAACTTTTAAGTGTTAACATTTTTAATTCTAATAGTTTATTATTCCATTGAGGTTTACTTTTAGTTAATCTTTCTTCTCTCATTTCTTAAACTTATCCAAGGATGCGGTCTTTTTTAAAATTTTAAAAAACTTCTTATTATAAGATCATAAATGTTAAAAAAAATTTGAATATTTAAATAAATACATAATAAAATAATAATAATAATATAATAATAATAGTAATGAAATATTAAATTGTTTCAATAGAAGATCGTTAAGCAAAATATTTTAGAACCAATTTTAGCCCGGTGAATCGTTTCATTAGAAAGGACGACAAAGCATTTTTCAAATTTTCAAGAAGCGGCATTTTTTTTCATTGTTAATAACTAATTATTTATTTAACTGTTCTAATTTATAAATTTACGCGGTATACTTTTCCATTAAGATTAACACAAGATTAAAAGTTGATCCTTTTTCGGTCTCTGAAAAACGTCTTTTTTGAAAATTTTAAAATCAATTTTCTGGTAATTAAATTGTAATATTTGGAATAAAATTAACATTGTCAGCAAAATTTTGCAATGACAGGCGTTAGATTTGTGTCTAGCCTTGAGACATTTGAACGCCGCTTAATCTTCTTCATGCGGTTAGTACTGATGAAGTTTTTTTCAGCAATTATTGAGAAAATCAAAATATTAGTAATTGAACTGGAATTTGTGAAGGATTCGATGAATAGAAATTTACACGTGTGCGCTAAAAAGCCGGCACTTTTCATACGAAGGCAATGATAAACCGATGGCATCACGTGAACAAAACTTTAGAGTATCTTTTTACAACCAGGTAATATAGACAAATCGATTCAAACAATAAACGATAGATGCACTCAATTATTATTAGAACTTAAAAAGCTATTGGAGTGTCTGTACAGTATAAACGGCATGAGTTTGAAGGATGAAAAATTGTTAAAGCACCGTAAGCAATTACGATTAGCCCTAACATCTGATAATAAATCACGTATCAACGGCTGGGAACTGCGGAACAAAAAAGTATAGGGAAAAATGTTTTTCAAAATATTTATTTATCGAAATCTGTTAAGTCTTTCCTAATCTTTCGCTATCTTTTTGGGTTCTTCTAACATTACCAGTCACAGTTGCTAGTGCTGATAGAAGTTTTTCAAAGTTAAAAATAATAAAATCTGAGGTGTCAAATGTTGGTTGGTTTTCAAACAAAAAAGAAATTGCTGATCAAATGTAAATGGGAGAAATAAGAAAAAAAATTGAATTTAAAGCCAGAAAAATTTATTTTTAAATACAATTTATATAAACTAATAATTCCTTAATGTATTCATCAAATATGAATTTATTTATTTGTGTAGAGTTTGTTTTCAAAAAATTTTTCTAATAAACTAAAAAGAGATTGAAATTAGATTTCGATTTTATTTTTCAAACCAAAAATTATTGGAGAAGAGCGGCAAATTTGCATGTTGCCTATGCACAAAAGGTTCCTAGAACCGGGCCTCTATTCACTGCACGCACATGCACACGTACACAGAAACAAGATAAATGAAAAACAATTAAATGATATCACAGGTTTGCCATGCAGATTAATTTGAAAGACGTCAGGATGGAGTAGTTGTGTTTCGCTGTCGATGTTCTTATTTGGGTTTTTTTTGTTAGTGTTGTTTGTTCATGCTGTTTGTTTGTTTCTGCTGTTTGTTCGCGTTGTTTGTTCGTGTTGTATGTTCGTGTTTAGTGTTGTTATTGTTTGCGCTGATTAACCATTATAATTGTTAGTAATAAAATCTTCGTTGTTATCAATGTTGATTGAGTTGTATACATGATTCTTTAATGCTGTTTCTATTGCTGTTTTTGTTGCTGGCAAACATTTCATGGTTTTTGTTAGTAGTTTTAAGGTGCGTTGATTTTGTTTACAAAGTAGTGCTAGTTGTTTATAATTGTTTGATGAGAACATTGTGACAACATGTCACCGCTGTTCTCATGCTGCTGTCCCCAGGACTTCAATAAGGCGTTTTATAAAAAGGTTACGACAATGTTTGCGAAACGTACTTTAAACTGTTTAAAACATTCGGTTATAATTTTACGCCAGTATGTTGTCTGACTGCTTGGATGTAGTTCATGAATGTTTGCTGTGAACGTGAAGTGTTGTTGATGGAAAACGTTGAATGTTGGTTGTGAACATGAAAAGGAGAGTGAAGAAACAACTTTATTTAATAGCGATGAGAAGATTTGGAAAATAATGGAGATTAATTTTATTTTAAAGCTTTTTATGAGAAGAAAATTATGTTGACAAAGACAGCCAACACTTTAAAAAAAGGTGTTGCTTGAATCAAGAGCAAAACGCTGTTGAAAATTGATCATTTACTTTTTACTCATTCGTTTGAAATAGACCTTAAAAAATAACTTGTTATGATTAGCACTCGCTTCGATACGACATTTTTAAGAAAAGTTTTTCAAACATTCTCTACGTGCGTGCCGATGGAATGTATAGGTATATTATTATTATTATTGTTATTATTATTATTGTTATTATTATTATTATTATTATTATTGGTTTTGTTATTATTGGTTTTATTATTATTATTTTATAATTACTGTGTCATCATCATTTTTTAATTTCATTATCACCTTGTTATCATTCCATTATCAACAATCATTATCTTGTTATGATGTTACTATCTCAAATCTAGCCTTACAAATATCACGCATGCAAGTGTAAAGATGATCTATGGAAGCGATGAAGAGCCTAATTCCTCTTCCCTCATTCTTATCATACTTTCTTTTATCTGGCAAAACAAATATCATCACGCCTCATATTTTAATGCTTCTCAAATTGTTCCTCCAAACTCCTGCAAATATGAGCCGCTTATTTAGCAAGTTCTCTAATGCGAATGTTTGGCTTTCCTCTCAACAATCGAATTAAAGTTTGATAATTAATTAACTCATCTGGCGACTAATGAATAGGAGCCTGAAATGAGATTGAAGTTTTTTTTATAATTTAAGGTCACAACACTCCATCAACTGCAGGATTAAACTTTCATCAATTAAACCACCCCGTCCGAGCAGGTCATAGTCACAATTTATCACCAACCATTTGTCAACGACGCGTAATCACATGCACTGCACACCCTCCCTCCGATGTATTGGATGTGTTTGGTCATTTTTAGAGATAAAATTTTTTAATTAAAAAGAAAATACTCAAATACACCAACTTCTTACAAGCTTTTTCCGAATCAGTCATATTTATTACGGACATACATACCAGGCAATGGATGAACAATTTTGAGCATCCGTATATATGCTATTTAATATTTATTTTGAATTTATACACATATGAAAAAAAAGAGAAAGAGAGTATAATTAAGACATTCAAACACGAAGACATACAGGCATTCGTGCACACAAACTCACAGACAACAAGACAGACTTGTAGTGTGAGCATTTGTTCATCCAAAATTTTGTTGGTTCACACATCTTCTGTTGATATGCTAAATAATTATACGGTTAATTTTTATTTTAATTATGATCTGTCGTCGTTGTTGTTGTTGTCGTCGTTGTTGTTGTTGATGTTGTTGTTGATGTTGTTGTTGATCGTGGGGTTGTTGGTGTTGTTGTTGTTGACCCTTTTTAATAAACTTCAACTTTGGAATTGTGGTAATAAATAGTTAATTTATTTTCCGTTGTTGTTAGTGCAGTTTCAATTTACATGTTAGCGTATAGATTTGATGAAACCTGTTTAATGTTTCTGGTTGGTCCTGTTACATTTGGTTTGTTGTTGCTGATGCGTTGTTGTGATGTTGTTGGGATGTTGCTGCGATGTTGTTGCGATGTGTTTGTAATGTTGTTGGGATGTTGTTGCGATGTTGTTGTGACATTGTTGCGATGTTGTTGCGATGTTGTTGTGACGTTGTTGTGAAGTTGTTGTGATGTTGTTGTGGCGTTGTTGGGATGTTGTTGCGATGTTGTTGTGGCGTTGTTGTGATGTTGTTGCGATGTGTTTGTAATGTAGTTGTGACGTTGCGATGTTGTTGCGATGTTGTTGTGTTGATGGCCGTTGTTGTGTTAGTACTAATATTAATGAATAATATTAATGACATCAGCATTGATTGTTAAGTTTGCAGCAGAATGACGTCATATCCGTACTAAAATAAAAATATTAATTAAAACTCTGTTGCATCCACATCGTTGTCGTTGTTAGCTGTTCGGGAGAAAATAAACGAGGCATGCTGTGCCGAATCGCTGGCGAATAAAATTCAGCAAACAATTTAAAAACGAAAGCAAACAACATTCGCAACTTTTCTGAAAAAAAAATTAATTACCGGAAAACAAAAATAAAATTTTCTGTCAACTCTGCGGCACAATGGTCGCAGGCAACAAAATGTTCATTCCCAGCATTATGATGATTGATTAGTTGACCATTATTCCTACCCACCCATTCCTCATACAGCTTACTTTTTTATGTTTCAATATTTTGTCACCCTGCATTATGTATGCGTCTTTATACCGCTGTTCGAGTCACTGTAGGTATTATTCCTGTGGAGTGTGCGTATATGTGTATTTGTGTGTGCGTGTGTGTGCATTTCATGCATGTGAGTATGTGCGTGCGTGTGTCGGTCGATGGCTTTAGAAGTTGTCCACGTTTTACTGCTAGGGGTGTGTCTGTTTTGTGATAATTATTATTACGTTGTTGCTGTTGTTGTTCTTGATGTTGCTGTGGTTGTTGATGTTGTTGTGGTTGTTGTTGTTGTTGATGTTAGCATTGTCGTTATTTATTGCAGAAAGCATGATTATCAGCATGAAGTTTCATATGTATTTGTTGGGTTAGTGTTTGGTTGAAAATTCAATAAAACTAACAACAAAAACTATTTTTATCAATTAAAAAAATTTGTTGCGTAAGCATTCACACGGTGGTTTGCAACAAAAATATTTCTCAACTTTGTCACAAAATTCCAGGTATAGATTCAAAAAATTGTTCACAAAACACTACAAACACATCGATATCAACAAAATTCAAGCAATATTCATTTCCATTCTAGAATAAATTTTTTTGTAGATAAATTCATTTTTGTGGTTGTCTCACTTTGAATGTTTGCGTGTCTCACAAAGGAATTTCGTTTTCCATCTCGCACAATAACCTTGTTGTGGCAGGCAAACAAGCGCTTATAAATGATGTTATCTACTGCATATGAGTTACAAATAATTACGTTTCGCACACATTGGAAGGATAATTAATTTCTTCCATTCCTTCCTTACTACAACATTTTTTATACTTCCAACTATATTCACTGTCAACTAAGCTCCACTGAACAAGTTTTGAACGAGCAGAGAACCCGATGAGTACGATGGATGAACATTAAATGAATAATGGTGATTAACAAACTTGCAGAGGAAATAATGAAATGTTTTCAAACATTTTTCAGTCAGTCAATCTTTTCTTGATGAGATTTTTAAAGCCATCTACCAACGTTGAACGAGCTCGTGTGCCAAACAATCAAGTGTGCTTTTTCTACATATTTATGAGAAAAGTTTCGTTTCAATGCAGGCACATTCCTTACCTGTCAGAAATGCTTTCATATTAATTTTTAAGAACTTAAAAATTTATTACAAACAAACCTTATGTAATAATTTTTAAATGCTTACTGTAGCAATGAAGAGACTTGAGATTTGATGTTCGTTTTGAAACAGAAGCAAAATTTAGTGCAGCATTGTGAAAAGGAAAATATTTGTAAAGAAAAGTCATGAGCAAGCATTGCACACATTGTCCTGCTAATCCATCCGTATTAAAGAATGAATGGATAAATTTCTTGCAACGCATTCGGGTCAGCGTGGGTTTAATTTTAATTGGTTTTTAAGATTAGTTAACCGTAATCACTTGCCTTGCAACTTCACCGCGATATTTACTTCAAATTCGTTTTTTGCCCCTGTAACATTAACTCGTGGGATAAAACTTCCCACTCAACAGTATAGCGGGTCTAGGCGTCTGTTGTTCAACATCTGACCGAACAATATTTTCATGACTAGTAAAATTTCGTTGCACGAAGCCAAACCAACTGAACCAAATCGTTCAATCATATCAATGGTCATGTGATGGTTATTATTTTCGATTCCAGATCTCCGCATTTTGGTGAACCTGCTTTTGGACACACTGCCGATGCTTGGAAATGTTTTGTTGCTATGTTTTTTTGTGTTCTTCATTTTTGGAATCGTTGGAGTTCAACTTTGGTCGGGCGTTTTGAGGAACAGATGTTGGTTGAGGCTGCCCGAAAACGTTACAAAACCAGAGTTGGTTTTTATTGTAAATTGTTTCATCCACTATTGCATTGACATTATTCTGTGTCATAAAATTTTAAAATGATTAAAATGCGTATACACTTTGTAAAATTGATTATCTTCAACAAAAATGTTTGGTCAGAGTCAGGGTGGAACACCAATGAAACAATTTTATTTTTCCACAGCTTCCTCAGTCCCTACTATATGGACCACGACAAAGACTTCATATGCAGCCGGGAAGATGACAACGGCATGAACAGGTGCGAACATCTTCCGCTCTACATTCTGAACGGAATGAGATGCAACGCATCAGCCAGCCCATCACATTACGCCGACGCAACCACAGTCGATGCCAGCCTCCACAACAACGAGAGTTGCATCAACTGGAACATGTACTACACGGCCTGCCAACCAACTGGACTTAATCCCTTTCAAGGTGCTATCTCTTTTGACAACATCGGTCTTGCTTGGGTTGCAATTTTTCAGGTTTGTTGTAATCATTTAAACGCTGCTATATATAAAAATATTGTTCTCAATTTTTTTTGTATTTTTATCACTCACCATGAACGTCCTGCTTATAAATGCTAGCAATAACTTAGGTCATTAGTTTGGCCGGTTGGGTGAACATCATGTATTACATTCAAGACGCCCATTCGTTCTGGAATTGGATCTATTTTGTGGCTTTGATTGTTGTGAGTGAAATGCGATTTTATTCTAAACATTATTTACAACAATTACTTACATTTGGAATAATTTTGTGTTATACTACTATTATTTCGTTTTCAGGTCGGAGCATTTTTTATGATCAATCTCTGCCTTGTAGTTATTGCAACTCAATTTTCAGAAACAAAAAAACGGGAAATGGAGCGGATGCAGTACGAAAGAAGGAACCAACGACAAGTTGTTGTTGATGTTGTTGCTGTTGTTGCTGTTGTTGTGGTTAATGTTGTGGTCGTTGTGTTTTCGTTGCTGTTTGAGACAATTTAAAAATTAATTTAATATTTCTGAAAATACTTTAATGCAATGATGAAGAGGCAGTCGACCAGCACGGTGAGGAGTCTGACGGAATCGCGAGGATGCTACGACGAGTTGATTAGATGTTTCGCCCAATTTCTTACCTACCTGGCTAATAAAATATCCGGTCTATGGAAAACGTTTCGCCGGAAGTGCTCACAACATCACGTGATACAAAATTTGAACAGAAACAAGTGCTGCATCGTATGCAGCTTTTTTGCAGACAAAGGCAATTTTAAAATGACAAAAGCCTGCAATAAAGAAGAAGATGGTGATGATTACTTCAGCAATGCCGAAGAACAGCCTGTCTGTACAGTGTTTGAATCTAAATCAGAAAATCGAGTAAAAAACAGTAAAATATATAAACAAAAAAACTATGTAACGGGAAAGAGAGGCTGCAGCAATAAGAGCACTAATTTGAAATACGATGCTGGAGAAGGAGATTCGTCTGCTGCCAGTTCTTCAAGAGATTGTAGGCTGGCGTCCTCCGATGAGGTCGATGGTAACGTCAGAAGTGGTAGCGTTCGATCAGGCAGAAATGAAACATTGGGAGCCTCAAACGGGAAACATCGTGATAAATCTAATGATGACGATTGTTATAGCAAGCGATGCAACGTCAACTTTCAGAACGAAGTTAAGAGCAAAGAATCTAAAAATGATTTAACAAAATATTTCTGTCTATGCAGTGAGTAAAAACCATGCAAAATATTTTTCATAATTTTCAAATTTTTTCATATCAAAATTAAGATTGTTAATGTTTCAGTTATATGGAAGAAGCTTCGACGTTACGTGAAAGTTTTGGTGAATCAGCGATATTTTCAGCAAGGCATTCTGGTCGCCATATTAATAAACACGCTCAGTATGGGCATTGAACACCACAATGAAGTGAATTTCAAAAATTTTCAAATATTTCTATTAACAAATGCTTTTTAACTTAATACATTTCTTTGCAACAAACAGCCGAAATTGTTAACTGAAGTTTTGGAGTACAGCAACGTTATATTCACCGGGTTGTTTGCTGTGGAGATGTTCCTGAAGTTGATCTCAGAGGGCTTGATCGGCTACATCAGGAATGGCTTCAACGTCTTTGACGGTTTCATTGTTGTTATTAGGTTAGAAACTTGTGTTGATGGTATGAAACTTGTGTTGATGGTATGAAACTTGCGTTGATGTTATGAGTCTTGTGCTGATGTTTTGATGTGTTGATATTATGAAACTTGTGTTGATGTTATTAACAGTAACAGTGGTAATGTTTGAGGAATGCGTTAATGAAAAGCAATGATGCTTCTTTGGCTTCGTCGTGTTATTAGTTTCAGAAGAAGTTAGTTTCTGACACTTTAGACACACTGCTTACGGGGCTATTGATGGTCTCTATTGTTTTTGGACCCCTGCATTTTACTTGGTTTTGAATTATGTGTTACCTTGTTTATATATGATGCTCATTTAAAGTACCTGGTGTAAACTAGCATCTATATTTTGCAGCCCGCATGCACATTCATGTATTTCTGCAAAATGTATATTTTTGCAAATTGTGCATTTCTCTAGCATAAAAGTTATTAAAACAAATTTTTTTTACTTTAAAATTTTTTAAATTAATTTTTTTATTTCCACGAAATGTTTGAAAGAAATAAAATAATTTTATTTGTAACAACACGCCTTTCATAAACTATTTCACATAGTTGAAAATTATCTAAAAACTATTCGTTGCGTGAAAAGTTGTTTATGCAAATATTTGAACCATCTGCTTAATTTTGAAAGATTTATTTAGTTCTCAAAAAAATTGTTAATGTCAGATAAAATTAAAGACAAAATTAATAATTTTTTATTTTCCAGCTTGGTGGAGTTGACCCACGAGGGGGACAGTGGGCTGTCGGTTCTGAGAACGTTCAGGTTGTTGAGGATCTTGAAAGTCGTCAGGTTCCTTCCAGCACTGCGTCAACAGCTGGTCATTATGCTGAAGACCATGGACAACGTTGCAACATTTTTCGCGCTCCTTGTACTCTTCATCTTCATATTCAGGTGCACCGTTCAATAGAATTCAATTTATTGTCTTCAGCATTTGTTTGTTCCTGTAGTTTTCATATTTCAATTCAAACCCTTTCTATCAATTAACACAACTTAAAATTAAAATAAAATTAAAAATGCTTGCCTACTCAGCATTCTGGGAATGCACTTGTTTGGTGGCAGGTTGTGCGCCCACCCCAGCGAGAAGAGACCGTGCAACTGCACCGAGGTCCTCGCCAACATCTGCAAATGTGACAGGAAGAATTTTGACTCATTGCTCTGGGCTATTGTGACTGTTTTTCAGGTTAAAACTTGCACCTACTAATTTGCACAATTTGTAAATAACTGAACATTTTGGCCATCAATAAAAACATTAAAACAATCAAATACTTCTCGGTTGCAAGCATTATAGAACATGTACGTACATGAATTCATCCCACAAACCACAACGCAAAACCACACAACAATTACCAACCCAACACACAAACACATATACGAACAAAACCACACATCTACCAACACAACAACACATCTACCAACACAACAACACATCTACCAACACAACAACACAGATACTAACACAGGAAGATTGGAACGAGGTTCTGTACAACGGAATGTCGAAAACATCAGCCTGGGCAGCTCTGTACTTCATCTTCCTCATGACGTTTGGCAACTACGTCCTCTTCAACCTCTTGGTGGCCATTCTTGTGGAAGGATTTTCATCCTCAGAGGTTTCCTTCTTATTATCTGTCTTTTTACGTTTATTATAAGGTAAATTAATTTTACTGTTCTATGTAAATCAAATAAATTTTTTTAACAAATTTGATTAGCTACCAAAACAAGTTTAATTTCACTAGTGTTATGAAATTTTACCAATTGTAAAATTTATATTTTTCATTTTGAAATGTGTCTATTTGATTGAACTATAAAATTAAATTCCATCTTTTATTAAACCGTTTAATGGCAACTGAAGGTTGACTTGAGTTTGGAGGACAGTGAGGAGTCCACCGGGAGAACCTCCAACGAACACGATGACCGTTCACCCAAAACCGGTAGACGGGGAGGAAAAGATGGAAAGTACAAAGTCCTCAGTCACCTACTTATACGCAACGCTCCTGCTTCTGCAAACATCCTGGCGAACGGTTTGCTCGTTTCTCCTTTTACATAAAAAATATTTTTATAAAATATTTAATAGTCATAAATATTAATTAAACTATGATAAATACAAAATTGTTTTTCAATTTTATTGTTGCTCATTTATTAAAAAAAATATCATTATCACCCGTCATGTATGTATGCACAACAGAAAATATGGTGTTGCAAATAGGACGATTAGTTCCCTCTTTCTCAAGTTCATCTACTGCTAATCCAACAAAACAGCAACCAATACTGCAACGGCAATCATCAGAGAAACAACAACAACAACAGATAAAACATCACCTTCTCTTGAAACCAATAACAGTAGAAGACACTCAGACAGGAGACCTGCAGTTAATCAGCACAACAACGAAACCGAAGAAGAATGATAACAAATTTGTGGCTGGCAGACGGACCTTCAAACGTGCGAGTGTACAACTGGATGTGACGAAACTGGACGAGAACAATTTGCATCGTACCAGGAAACTTTCCATACCGGCCAATCAGTTGCTGCTCACATCATCCGCACTTGCTAGAAGCAAGCACGTTAACACATCCATCTCGTCAGCATCGCCAACTACATTTTTGCCATTTATTATTAGAACGTTAGCAGTCACCCCAACATCAAAAACTACCGCAAACACTACATCCCTAACAACAATGGCATCCACAACAACAACAGCAACAACAACAGCAACAACAACAGCAACATCAACAACAGCAATATCAACAACAACATCAACAGCAACAACAGCAACTGCAGTAAACAAGCAAACGATCAGAAGTGTTAGGAGGGTCTCATTAATTTATCCAACTAACAACACTCCACTCAACAGGTTGGTGCTGCTTTTGTTGCTGTGTTTGTCCTTATTGTTAATGTTATTGTTTTTGGTGTTGCTGCTGCTGTTGTCATGGTTGTTGCTGTTGTTGTTAATGTCATTGCTTTTGTTGTCGTTGTCGTTGCGGTTCGTAATGTCGTTGTCATCGTTGCTGCTGCTGTTGCTGTTAATGTCATTGTTTTTGATGTAATTATTGCAGCTGCTTTTGTTGTTGTTATTTTTTGTAGTCTTTCTGTTTTGTATTGATTCATTTCTTTTTGCCTGCCTGTTCTACTGTTTTCCAACCAGCAAAGAATATTGTTTTAAATTTTTACAAGCTTGTTTGGTTTTGTGGTCACTTTTTAGTTTTCCTTGATGTCATCTTTCATTCTCAGATTAACCAATTGGTTGCCACGGACCAGCATGTTCCACACCCTCCTCTTTGAACTATACAGTCTGCATAAGACCAAGTTGCTGAGACTTGTCTGCATAAGACCAAGTTGCTGAGACCTACTCACGTGACCTATCAATCCACAGTGATGTCCTTTTCAGAAACGGCTGAAACTTGCGTGCGCTCTTCTGTTGGAAGTCTTTTCGATTTCAAGCAGCAGTTAAACATAAAATGCCTCACAATTTTGGATGAGAAAATTTCTGACAGTTAAACGTTTTTTCTTAAAAGAAAGTTGTTGATGTAGTCGTTTGTGTTGTTTGCTCAACTTACTCTTCACATTATTTGCAAAAATGTAACTGCAAGAATGGAAAGAAATGTAAAAGATAAATGGAAAGTAATTAAGAGTTGAAATATTTTTATTTCTTACTGAAATTAAATGAAAATTAAAAAAAGAATTAAAGAGAAAAAGTGTTCATAATATAACGTAACTATGATATATGGATTGTATTAATTTAAGAGTCAAGCAAGCCTTAAGATGATTGAATGCTCGGGTCTTCAATTCAATGGGACAGTCATTAATTAAACTGCTCTGAAGATGTTTCTACTTTGTTGAATTGTAACAAGAACATATATAACAAGAACATATTTAAACATATCGTATAACAATATTTGAAAATAAGTTACTGTGAGCAGCTGTATTTATTACTAAATTGGTCCTTAGTAACGTGCAAAATATGCAATAATAAGTAAAAAACTCCATGAGCAAACTTGTCTAAACGAATGCAGCATGGCTAAATTCAACAGTCGTTGCTTGGGTCCGTGGTCCGATAAATTAATTATTTGGTTATTTGGGTTGTCGATTGCTGGCACGAATCTGTTTTTCCCATACATGAAAATATCATAATACTGGAATTTCTTCTTCATCGGCATCACGTTTGTTCTTTGCATTGTCACCTTTTCAAAAAACAAACAAGCAAACAAACAAGCCCACAAACAAACAGCCAAGCGCACAAATACACGACAAACAATCAAACAAACAAATATCACGTCAGCCATGCGATGAGGCGTCATCATACACAGGCACGTTGCCGTCCAATGCATTCGTTAGGCAAATAAATCCAAAAATATTGAATCGGGTCTTTTGCTTTGTTATGCATTTCATAATTTTCAAACAATTATTCATGTCGCTTCATGTGATCAAGTGCACGATTTTAAACCAGCAACAAATGTTTTCAGGCAACTGTTGCTGAACAACAAGCGGGTCAGTTTATGCAACAGCAACCTAGACGGCAACCATCACAACAACGTCAGAACTGGTACGTGCGTTTCAATGATTTCATTTATTTTGTTATAAGCATAACAAATCAATGAAAACTGCTGCGAAATCAAGTTTTTATCGTAAATTCAACTGTAATGAATGAATGAATAATTGAATGAATGAATGATGAATAAAAGAACGAACGAACGAACGAACGAATGAATGAATGAAGGATGAACTTACTAATTAATTAACTAACTGGTTTACTAACTAACAAGCATAAAACAAACAAACAAACGAACGAACGAACTAATAAACGAAGAGTGATTGTATGAATGGATGAATGAATAATAATTTTAGAACGTTGCGAAATTAAGCCACTGACATACTTAACAAGCAATAATTTTAACTATATTAAATTTATTAATTTAATGTATCAATTTATTTAAAGCACTGCTGGCGCAATTAAATGGAAACAGAATAATCACCGCATAACCACCACAAACGTTAATCATAATACATCATCAAAAACAACGACAACAACATCCACAACAACAACAACATCAAAAACAACCACAACAACCACAACAACATCAAAAACAACAACAACAACATCAACAAAAATATCAACACCAACATCAACAACAACCACAACATCAACACCAACATCAACAACAACCACAACAATAACAACAACATTAACAACAACGTCAGTTCGCAGTTACTCCATCTCACCTGTCAGCTTCAGCAACCTTTCAAAATTACATCTATCCACAGCAACATCAACAACATCAGCAACATCATCAATAACAACAACGTTAACATCATCAACCTCAACATCAACGACAACAGCAGCTTCAGCAACAACAACACCAATACAAATACCTGCTTATAGACTAATTTTAAAATCAGAATGTTCTCAACTTTCAAACAGCAACAACAACAACAATGTCAGTGACAACAACGTTTATTCAACAAAAGCAGACAACATCATTGATGCAACAACAACAACAGCAACAACTACGACAACAACAATAGCTGAACAGAACAAACAGCCAACTTATGCTCTGAAAAATGTGGTCATTGAATCAACTGACTCCCCACAACAACACAAACTTAACAGAAGTCTCTTATCGTGTAACGCAGATTTGGTAGGATTTTGTGTTGTTGTTTGTAATGGTGTTGTTGTTGTTGTTTGTGATGTTATTGCTGTTTGTAATGATGATGTTGGCGTTTGTAATGATGTTGTTGTTGTTTGTAGTGAGGTTGTTTGTGCTTGTAATGATGTTGAAGTTTTGTTGTAATGATGTTGTTGTTGTTTGTAATGATGTTGTTGGCGTTTGTAATGATGTTGTTGTTGTTTGTAGTGATGTTGTTATTGTTTTGTTTGTAGTGATGTTGATGTTTTTAATGATGTTGTTGGCGTTTTTAATGAAGCTGTTGGCGTTTGTAAAGATGTTGTTGTTTGTAATGATGTTGTTGTTGTTTGTAATGATGTTGTTGTTGATTGTAATGATGTTGTTGCTTTGCTGTGGTGTTTTAACGATGTTGCTCCTGTTTTGTCGTTCTTTAAACACTCACGAAAACATTGATGCGGTGTTGGAAAATTCAGTTGAATTTAATCTTATTATTTCATTGCGATAAAATTTTTTAATTTTTGTTACTACGAAATTTATATTTTACTCATCTCTCTGACGCAATTGTTCTTTTAATATGCATAAATGCATAAACAATTGTTCTTCATAAAGGTTGAAGGTTTCTCTCTCTCTTTTGCGTTTGCTTCAGAGGTTACAACGTCAAACACACACAGCGTATATGAATGCGCAAGCAAACCACGCATCATACACATTGCATATGATAGGCGGGGATCTTTTTGTATTCGAACCCAGTCATAGCAATAGCAAGACCAGGCGCCTTTAACCATTGAGCCATCACGCCGCCGTTGTTTAGAGCATATATAAAACATGAATAAATTTGTTAGTATGTGATAACAAATGTACAAGTTTTAATGTTTAAATATGAGTAGAAAAAATAGAGGACCAAATTATAAGCAATTCTACCAATTGAATTTAAACTGTGTGTGATTGTTATATTTACAAGGAGGTGGTGATGGTTGGAGACGCCTGTTACTTCGTCCTACGCAAAAAGTATCAAATACGTAACGGCAAAATGGTGTCACATAACAAAACGCTTGTCCTTTTTCAGTTTCCCAGTGCCCGAGTGAAATACAAAAAAAATCAACACCTTTTATGAGCAAAAACTGCAT